GGCCTCCCGCCAGGGCCTGGCCGCGGCAGTGCAGTACGCCAAGGCGGTGGGCTGCCCCAGGTAGGTCCGAGGCAGGGCCCCGCTCCTCCGGCCCCCTGGCTCTCCCCGACCCCGCGGCAGCAGGTTCCCGGCCCCGGCGGCACCAAAGCACCCCTCCGCAGCCCTCCTGCTCCAGCTCTTCTACCGAGCGGGGTTCGTCCTTTGCACCGCTGTCCCTCCATCCCGCTGGGTCACGGAGCCTCTCCCGGGCAGCGTCTCCCTGCTCGGCTCCATCCGGTGGGAGCCAGTTCGTTGCAGACCCCTGCATGCGGGCCCACGGCCTTGAGGTGCTTGCTGGGAGCAGCCCCAAAGCTGGCAGGCACTCTCATCCAACCCTGCCGTTCCCTGTGGTGGCTCTTGTCTGCACCTCCGCACAACAGTCCCCGTGATAATCCTCCCTTTTCCCTCCCCAATTACACCAGTCATTTCCCCTGGGACACCAGAACAGTTGCTTTATTGAAGGCCACGCTGATCACAGCACAGCAGAGACACTGTAAGAGATGCAATTAGCCTGGCACAACCCCCTTCAGAAAACCAGCGTGGCCCTTTTATTCCATTTACTCTGCATCATTCTTTCCCTTAGAAACGCAGTCCAAAGCCCTGCGGTGGGCATGGGCCAGGCAGGCTGGGGGTTGCCCACACCCATCTGCACTCTGGTAACGGGTAGATTTAAAAGGTTTTTGTTTCCACTGTACACCTTCCCCAAACGGCCGCTGAAGAGCCTTCCTCTTGCCCCGCCACTGAGCTCTGCACGCAGCCTGGCGTAGCCCAGCACTGGCCACCGTCCCCTCCCTGCTCTAATCCAGCAAGTGGTGAGACAAGGCATCCGACCTGCCCCTGGCAGAGGCAGCATGCCTGCTGCCCATCCTGCTGGCCTTGGAGCAGCCCCAGGAGCGAGACCCCAAGAAAGCTCCAGCCTTGGGGTGGAAGAGCTGGAGGCAGTTGGCAAAAGAGGGAAGAATCAAGGTCTGTGATTTGTCAGGCAAAAGGTTCAAGGATGTCCCTCTGCGTACTGAGGTGGGATGGTGCAGGTTTGTGTCCCTGCAGCTCGCTGGTGCCTGTTATGCCTCCTACAGAGGAGATGGCTCCGCTTAACCCCCATCTGTGTCTGCTCCCCCAACCTGGCCCCATTTTCCATTGGCAGAGGAAGGTGTATTAGATCCGACCAGTTGCTTGGAGACTGGAGCTGCTGCCTGTGGCTGATCTCTCTGTGTCTGCAGGATCCACCTGATGGCTGGGCGGGTTCCCATGGGTGCAGACCGGGCAGCAGTGGCAGGCGAGATGGAAACCACCTTCATTGAGAATCTCAGATACGCTGCTGACCTCCTGGCCCAGGTAAGTGGAGAATGGCTCCTGCTCCGTGGGTGCAGCTCTTAGGGGTACCAAGGATGGAGAATCCCCCAGCGGCCTGGCACGGGGAGGAAGCGCTTCCTGCTGCAGAGGTGACGGGGTGCTCCGTAGGGTGACATTACTGTGTTACAGGAAGACATGATTGGACTGGTGGAGCCTATCAACAACCGCATCACTGACCCTCGCTACTTTCTGAACACCCCGCACCAAGGTAAGGCAGACATCACTCCCCAAAGTCTCCTTCAAGGGAGGAGAGGGATCCCCAAAATCTGAAAGGCAGGAGGTTGCCTCACCTGCAGGGAGATGCTGAGGGAGCACAGCTGATGAACGGGAGTCTTGGGGCATCACCATGAAGCTTCCAGCCTGGGGGTGACGGTCTCTCATTTCTTGCACCCTTAGCTGCTGCCATCCTGGAGAAGGTGGGACGGCCCAACCTGAAGCTGCAGCTGGTGAGTCAGCATTGAAGATCTCCAGGGTCCACCCTCCACCAGGGAACCTTGCACAGGCCCACAGGGGAGTCCCAGGGGCTGTGGGCTTGTTATCCCCTCCTGGGGACGTGGGGAGGGACAGGGACTGTAGCACAGCCGTCCTCGACCGCTCACTGCTGAACAGCTGCACCACCCGTCTCCTCTCTCTCCCACAGGACCTCTTTCACTGCCAGATCATGGATGGGAATTTGTCACGCAACCTGGAGACATACTTCCCACTTATCGGTAACGACCTGCACCCAAACCAGCTCCTCTGTGGCCACGGGGCAGGAGTGGCTTTGAGATGGGGCCCTACTGCCCCACTCTCTGCTGTGGCTGGCTGGGGGCAAGGGTCTGCTCTTGGGTCACCTTGTCCCATGCCTAGAGAAGGCTGCAGGCAGGGCTGCCTTGGGCAGAGCTGCCTTGAGCAGAGCATCTCCCATTTCCTCCCTAGGTCATATCCAGATTGCACAGGTGCCAGGGCGGCACGAGCCTGACAGCCCTGGGGAGTTGAACTTCCCCTACATCTTCGAGCTCCTGGAGTCCCTTGGCTACACTGGCTATGTGGGGTGCGAGTATGCTCCGAAAGGTGAGTGGGCCTGGGGGTGGTCCAAGCCCCACTGGCAGGTCCCAGCATGGACCAGTTGGCTGGGGACTGTGCAAAGGCAGGCATGTCCTGGGGTGTGGCAGGCAGCGGGCATCGGCGTCCCTACCTGGGGATGAGAGCCCTGCCCAAAGCAGCAGCTGCTCCAGCTTGCCTGGGGGTGCCAGCAGGAGACCTTGTCTGTCACTGCAGGAGACACTCTGGAAGGTCTGGGCTGGCTGCGCTCGTACTGGGAGAGCCGAGGCCTGCAGCATGGTGGGACCAGCAAGGCAGCAAAGTAAAACAGAACACTGGAATAAAAGTCAAAACAATGGCTTAACAGAGGAGCATGTCTGTCTTCTCTATGACTTGGGGCAAAGTTAGGAGCATCGATGTCCCATTGCCCTTCCCCAGGCCCTGCTGGGCCAGCCCAAGCAGTTGGACCCTCATCTACTCAAGCACCATCTGCAGCATGTCATATTTGGGGATGGCTTGGGCACCACTGTAGGTGACTTGAGGTACACAGGAGCACCTTCACCTCCAGACTGCAGGGGTGTCGAGGGAGAGGTTTCCAGTCCCCCCTGCTGAGGGGAACATTCACTCCTTGGGAAGGGCGTGGGTTTTCCCAGTCCAGCTCCAGCTGGTGCATGGAGTTGTGGGATGAGGGCTCTGGGCTTCCAAGTCCTGCAGTTCTCGAGGCTGCTGCCAGTGCCCAGCACTGACCCTGCAGCAGGTGGGGACAGTGAAGCAAGCAGTCCCCTCGCAGGCTGCCTGAACCAAGGTAACAGGCTGGGGGCTGCCTGCCCACAGACATGTGGGGCTGACTGCCCTGCTGCTCCTGCTCCAGAGCAAGTATGAGACGCCAGTGCAAACCCAGCCAGCCCCGCAGCCAGAGTTGTCTCTGCATCCCCTACGGAAGGCTTTCCACATCCTAGCTTATGGCACGTGAGTGGGGATCTGGTTCAGTTTATTTCACAGATATATCAATGGCTTTAATGTACATCTCCATAAAACCTTCCCCTGGTCCAGTTCACCCTTCCTGTCCCATTTGGTGCTCTCCTCATGAAAGCAAAGGGCCAGAAGTAGGCCGCCTCACTGCCCAGAGCCCTGAAGTCCAGTCATCTTTCCACCTAAAGCCAGAGCACTGTGCAGTGCTGCCCTGTGCAGAAGACATGCTGTGTGAGCTCCTCCATGCCTTCCCGGCAGGCAGAACTCACCTGCAGATGCCAAAGCCGTGTCCCTGAGAGCCGCTCTGCTCCAGACAAGCCACAGCAGCCAAGCTCCTGCCCTTGCGGTTTGCTTCAAGGTCATGCAGTATCAAACCCACCGAAAACAGCGCACTGAGGGCCACACCAGCCAGCCAGCGAATGATGGAGGCACAGCTGGGGCTGAAGCCCAAGAGCAGGAGGCAGGCTGCCCTCCCACATCCCCAGGCTCCTCAGTTCAGTAGCCATGCGTGCCGCTAGCAGCGCTGCCTGCAGTGCCGGAGCACAGGTCCCTCCCCGAGGCCTGTTCTTCCCCATCATCACCCACGGCACAGCCGTGCCGAGAGGTCTGGTACGTGTATCGCTCCAGGATGTAGGTGCCAGTGCTAGAGCAGGCCTGTCCAGAGGTTGAAGCAGGCAGTGTTGATAACAGACTCCAGGTGGTGGTATGTGGACACAAGCTGTGGCAGAGGGCTCTCGCTGTTCTGGGGCTGCACTGGGAACGGCTCCCGGAAAACCACGGTGAGGCTCTGCTGAGAAGGAAGATCGGGTCAGGACAAGCACTGTGCAGTCCCTAGCCCAGCTGCGTGGGCACTTGCTTGGCCGTGTCAGGCAGATACTGGGAGAAGACCCAAAATGCCAACAACACTAAGCTAGTGCCTCCTCCTGTGACAAAGCATGTTTGAGCCTCCTCCCAATTTTCCTGGTGGAAATTAGGTGCAAGGACTTGCCCACTCCCTCTGTCCCAGCCCCCATGCATCTGCAGTTATACCAACCCCAGCAGCAGCCTCAGGAGAGGAAGGGATCCTACTGCTTCCACAGTAATAGGGGCTTCCAGGGAAATTAGAGGGAAATTTCTTCTTCTAAGGCAAAGAGTAGGAGTGCAACAAATGGGGAAGGGGAGGAGATTAAACGTAATAACTGCAATCCTAAAAATAAATGCTGGCTGCTCCATCCTCATTAGTGACTGTACTGACAAGGCAGGGCAAGGGCAGAGGGGGGCAGAGAACAGGGTTCAGAAGAGAAGGTTGCAGGAGCTGAAGCAGAAGAAAAACGTGAGCAACTCAGTGCACTGAGATCAACATCATGGAGGCAAGACACGGGGACTGGATGTTCTCCAGAGCTGAAACGCAGCACATCTAGTAGCCAGGGTCCCCTAACAAACTCATAAAGCCATGAGAACAGCTGTGTAACTGCAAAACAGCAAATGCACCACCATCATTTAAGAGGGAAGAGAAAGTGATTTGTGAGCATAACTCGGCAGCGTGCAAGGCTTTAGAGCAGGCTTGGAGAGAAAGAACCACGAGGAAAATGCAGCTCAGTGTTACCAAAATGATGTGCTAATGCTAGAGTTCTCTTCGATAAGGTAATATTTCTAGACAAAGGAATCATGGTATATCTTATCTGAGCTTCAGGAAGGATTTGATGTAGTGCCACATGGGAAATTTAGGTAAGCTGAAAAGATAGGAATTAACACAAAAATTGTAAGGTGAAGATGGTAGTGCTGAAAGGGGAAGTAGCAGGCTGGAGAGAGGTTGCAAATGGAATTCCTCCAGGAGAGGTTTTGGGACTCACGTTGCCTATTACTTTAATGAGTCTGGCACAAAGATGAAGAGCATGCTGATAAAATTTGAGGCACTAATACAAAAGAGAATTGGGATAATGCAAAAAAAGCCCTAGAGACTTTTGAGAGGCCACAGGAATGGGATGAATGTTAAGCGTGAAATACAAGGTGAGGAACATGAAGGATTTCTGTTAGAAGATGGGATTCATTGGGAGAGGTGATGGAGAGTCTGGGTGTATCATATCAATGACCACAAGATGACACTATGACCAGTGAGACATGACCATGAAAAGGCAAATACCACCCTAGGCTGTACCAAAAGGAGCGGGCAGGGACAGAAAAGCCTTAGTGCAATCGCAGAAGGCTCTGCTGAGATTCCTCAGGAATACTGGGTGCAGTCCTGGACACCTGTATTTACAAAGGCTGACCTGAGCCCTGAAGAGCTCTGAAGGGCTCTGAATGACAATGAAGCCACTGGAGAAGGGAAGGCAGGCTTAAGAGCTTGGCTTGCTTAACACAGCAACATGGAGTTAGCAAAAATTCCACCTTCAGATGTGGAGGTGAACCTAGGGGACCGGGGAGGAAGCGGGTACCCGCACAGTGAAGAGCGGTTTCAGCTCTGAGCTACCACTGGCATGAAGAGGATAGAACTGGCCACGACAAAAGCTCCAGCACAAAATGGGAAGGGCTCTTCACCTTCAGGTGGCAGGAGGCACTGAGCAGCCTTCCAGCAGGCACCACCTCTTCTGTCTCCTCTACCTGCTTTTAAGATGGATTGTGATTTATTATAATTTATTATTTATGTATTTTACAAAGGGATCAGATATGCTGCAGTCTCTGCAAAAGCCTCACTGTAGACTGAAGTGTCTTGTAGATGCCCCGCTCTCACATGGACCTGCATTCCCTGTGACCCATCCTGCACCCTGCCTGGGAGCACAGCTGAAAGCAGAGTATTTTTGCCCTCAAGTCCAATGAAGGCCAAGGCCCGTGCAGGTTTGCTGGGACCCTCACAGTGCAGGTCCCCTTCCTTTCTGCCCAGGTAGGAGCAGCCTGCAGCACTGGTGACCCCTCCCAGCCAGACCCAGTGTGCTCTGGCTTTGGACTGAATACAGAAGGACTCTTTAGCCTGGACAGAGAGACAGCTGAGAGCATGATCCAAAAGCAACCCTGTGAAGGAAAAGGGGATCAACTGCTCACCATTTTCCAATACAAGAACAAAGGGGCATCACATGAAAAAAGCAGGAGGTTCAAAAACAAGCCAAGGAAGGTAGCTGTTCACCTAGATTGTAATTGTATCATGGAGCAGCAAGTCAGGGGAAATCACTGATGCCACAAATTAACCAAAGGAAATAAAGCTGCGGAGAGCTGTTAAATAAATGCAAAGGCCACCTATAGCTCAGGACAGGCCCGGGCCACAGTTTGTCAGATGTTGGGACAGTAATTGGGAAAGGTGTTAACAAGCTTCTTGACTTGCTCTTACTCTCCCCATGGGCACCTGCCCTTGGCAACTGCTGGATCAATCTAGACAGACTCCCGGCTTGAGCCAATATAGCTGCTCTTACGTTCCCAAGTTCTTACCGTCTTTCCTGAATGGGAATCAAGAAACACAAGAACGAAGCAATCCGTGAACTTCTGGTTGAGCACAACCTGTCAAGAGAGCCACAGCACACATTGCAAAGGAGACAGCACAAACCCCAGGACAGGAGTACGAACAACACCCACTCAAGGACGTGCTGACGTGCAGGACGAGTGGCATGATAGAGCCGTGAAGGTGGAGGTCTGCCTGGCTCACAGGTGACACTGCCAAACCACAGGGCTATACGTGGCATGAGGCTGTGGGTGTGAAAAGCGTCCTGCCTGCCTGAGGGCAGACAAACAAACATTGCTGTACCACAGGAGCACACACCTCATGCTGCAGAGTGGAGAGCAACATCATGACAGTGCCCACATTGTCCTGACAGCACACGCCAGGCTCGCACTGTGAGAAGGCACAGCAGGCAGGGGCCCTGGACAGGGGAGAGAGGCTGCAGGTGGGTGACGGGCTGGGACTTACCAGATACTGGGTGCCAGTTTCAGCATTGTGGAAGTGCCGACAGCTCTGGGGAAAGCGGCTCAACAGCACTTTGATGAGGCTCTGGTACCAGGAGACTGTCATGGTGAGGAAGCATCCCTGCGGGCATGGAGAAGGGCTGATTTCAGCCTCCTTCTAGCCATGGCACCAGCAGCCATAATGCTACAGCAGCCTTCAGACCCCAAATCAGATGCATCCATCGCAGCCCACTGAGGAATGCTGACCCAGAGCTATCCACTCTCCATAGATGGGTCCATGCAGCCTTCCCCTTCCCCTGCCAGCTAGGAGCTATGTTCCTGCCTCTATCTTCCCACCCAGCAAGAAGAGATGTGCCCTGCAGGCCCTCCACCCAGTGCCCCACTCCCTCCCCACAGCAGAACAGCGGCTGCTGTGCACCATGACTCCATCCCTGCTGCTCACCAGCTGGGGGTCAACATCAGCAATGGATTTCCCATGCACGGCGTCAAGCAGCTCCTCCAGCTCCACCAGTGAGAGC